TATATCGTAATGATGAGACTCAAGAAATTACAATAAGTATTTAACTTAACAATTTTACTTTAAATTGTGTCATGAATTAATTGAAATTATTTTGGTTATAATATTGAAATTATTGTACAATATAGTTATTGGTAAAAAGTTAGAATTCCATCCTTTTAGGGTAGAGTAAATTGAATTTAGGTGCCTAAAGTGATATTTTAAATTACACTTTAATTTTGAATACAATTAATTATTTATTTTGTCTTATATTATTTCAGGAAAAATTGACAGCTGAATATGCTGCTAGGTAAGAGGAAGAAGGATTTGACCCTACAATAGCTCATGGTGAGCTATTATTTAGGGCAATTGGTGGGGTTAAGAAAGGATGGCTGAAAGGTTTGGATATTCACACACATCCACAAGATATAGGTGTGAGCACTGAGCACATCTAGACAAGAACCATTCAGGCCTTCCATTATAGGACAGTCTAATAGGGTTATCGAATTAAAGCAGACTGTTGAATCATTGAAGGCAGATAATAATAGCCTTCAATAATCACAGATGACCCTTGTGGCAGATAATGAGAACCTACGGCAGCAACAGATGACCCTTGCTGCACAGATGCAGCAACTTTACCAGCATTTAGGGATAATCCCAACGAATACAAGTGGGACAGTCAGCCCTAGGACACCCCGAGATATTTAGGTTTTTTATATTTAAATTAAATATTTGTATTTACTTTATATTTGTAGTAGATATTAGAGACTTATATATTTAGAGCAAATTAACAAAATTTTCTAGCATTTTATATGATAAATATCATAAATTATGTGAAAATAATTTTATAATATCAAATATATTAATTTAAATATCAATGAAATACTTTATATGTAAGAAATATCGAACTAAATGAAATACTCATACATAGATTGGTTTTAATTAGTATAACAATTGTAATAAACACATAAATGGCTGAGTGTCTTGTGGCAGAAACAAGCATATACAGACTGATGCCGGTCCGTATATATCAAGGTAAGCAAAGTCGACTGCAAAATACCCACAGTCGGCATAGTAAAAAAAACAGAATGTTCGAAGTAGTCTAGCACCAGCCGACTTTCATTCCCCAGTCGGCTCACCAGTCTATATGGACCGATAACGGTCTGTATATAATAGTAAAAAATCAAGACCAGTTAAGCAGACTGCAAAATTTTTACAGTCGACTTAGTTCAAAAAATATAATGTTCGAGGCATGCAGCACTAGCTGGCTCTTATTCCTCAGTCAGCCGAGCCCAAACTAGTATATACGGACCGATATCGGTCTGTATATATCATGTTAACATATACGGACCGATATCGGTGTATATATACATGCAGCCCAACATAAGCTCATTCGTATATAGCGGTTGTTATTGATCCGAATATATCTTCCATAATATACATAAACGTATATACGGATCGATACCGGTCCGTTTACTGTTATACGGACCAATTTTGGTCCCAATATATACCCATCTGCAGCTTTTTCATTGTTTTCCTTATCTCATGCTCAATTTATTATACTCTCGTTTTCAACCATAACATTTTAAATGTTTACATGCCAAAGTGGATAACCTTACACAAAAAAATCAAATTTACTTGCTTGTGGTTCCGAAAGAACATTATCTAATCTTATATCTAGTAACCTTATATCTAATAACCTTATACTTGTACATTCAAGGTTTTGCAATGATTCTATCCCGTGTCATCGTTAGATAATTTCAGGCATGGAATCGATGGTTTCGGAGTTCCAAGAGACTATAGTGTTGATGTTCATGCAATTGGTTTTTGTAAGAACGGATTTGGGGCATAGGAAAATGGTGATGTCCTTAAATGAAAAGAATAAAAAGGTGCACAGGGAGAAGGTTCTGGATTTTTTGCAGCATATTTGGACCAAAAATGGTCTGAAAGATTAAAGGCGTGGAAGCTTCTAGATTCTGTGCCTCTATTTCGACTAAAACTGGTCCGTATATATCTTTACACCGAATTTAATTTATCTTTATAATTAAAAAAACATGACAGACATATACGGATTGATATTGGTCCGTATATTGTTATATGGACCGGTTTTGGTCCCAATATATACCCACATGCAGCTTTTTCATTGTTTTCCTTATCTCATGCTCAATTCGTTATTCTCTCGTTTTCAACCATAACATTTCGAATGTTTGCATGCCAAAGTGGTTAACCTTACACAAAAAAATCAAATTTACTTGCTTGTGGCTTCGAAAGAACATTACATAACCTTATATCTAATAACTTTATACTTATACATTCAAGGTTTTACCATGATTCTATCTCGCGGCATCATTAGATAATTTCAGACAGGGAATCGATGGTTCTGGGGTTCCAGGAGATTGTAGTGTCGATGTTCACACAATTGGTTTTCGTAAGAATGGATTTGGGGCACGGGAAGATGGTGATATCCTTAAATGAAAAGAATAAAAAGGTGCACAGAGAGAAGTTTCTAGATTTTTTGCAATATATTCATACCAACGACAATTTGAAAAAGTGTGAGCATATAATATAAGTAATTTAATTCATCTTTATAATTAACAAAGTTTTAACTTATATATACAAACTGATACTAGTCCGAATATAACCAATTGTTGTTTCAACGGTTTTGCCCCTAGAAAATTTCACCGAAAATTAAACTTTTTAGGATTGGTGCTTAATTATTTATTTACGGACCATTTTCGGTCCATATATTTTGCCACCAAAATTTTGCTGTAAATTAAAATTTTTTGGTAATTTGCGGACCGATGTCAGTCTGAAAATGTTTGTCACCTAAATTTTCAGCAAAATTGAAGCTCTCCGCTCGGTGGTAATGTGGCACTTATTTGGTATATTTAGACCGGTTTCGGTCCGTACAAAACATATATATAACCAGCTCCCTCTCATTCCTTTCCTCATTTTCTCTTCTTCTTCTCTTTCTTTTTCTTCTTCATATCCTTCGTTTCTGGGTATTCTTTCCTCTTCTTTCTCATTTTCTTTCTCTATTCCTTTTACTCTTTCTCTTTTTTTCTTTCTCTTCCCCTCTCTTTCTTCTCTTCTTTCTCTACACTTCTTAATATTCTTTTAATTTTTCTTACTTCTTTTACTCTTCCCCTCTCTTTCATGTTTTTTTTTTCCTTTAATTTTTCTATTTTTTCCAATCTTTTCTATTCCACTCTCCTTTCTTTTTTTCTTTTTTTTTGGATTCATAATATGTTTTATAAAGATTTTCATTTTGGTATATTTTTATTATTTATATTTTGTTTACTAACTTCTTTTTTTTTTTTTTGTAGGTTTCATATTATAAGAATTTGGTGAATTTTCTCTTATATATGTATTTTTTTATTTTTTTTTATATTTATACTTATTTGGTTTAT